GTATTTCAAGAAGACAGTCACCATTTCAGCTTTTTTTTGATCCTTGGTATACCTATTCTTAGTTTTCTGTAGAATTTAAATTTGAGTAAGGTGTTTTGGTTTTGTTTGTTGGTTTTGGTTTGTTTATTTTTGTTTTTTTTCAGAAGGGTAACATCAGTTTATCCATCGAATGCGTGTGATCTACAGTAATCTGGGAATGGCAGAAAAACATATATACAGAAATGTTAACCAACTCCTTGGCTGGAACCAGTTCTGTTCACCTTAACTTTCACAGGATGATTAATGTATTAATAATCTGTGGTTTGCACATCTTGTGTAGTTCTGTAGAGTAGCTCTGCACTCAGTCTCCTGGCTAAAAACCTCCTGATGCATATCATTGAAGGTTTATTTTAACATCCATGTGTGAAGCATGTAAAATCCAACCTCAGTGATCATAAACCTCTAACACTACCCTTTCTTTTTGTGCAATTACTGTATTGAATTCGTATGTATATTTGGAACCTTCCCTGAGCTTACACTTAATTCTTCTACCTTTGTTTGGTTTTGTGGTATTTAGTTCTTAGATTCAGATCAAGTTGCTCTTAAAGCTTGTCAGTATTTTGGTTATGAGTTGGTTTATCCTGTAACTTTCTATTTCAAGAATCTGTTCTGGTAATAGCTCACTTGTGAATGTGACTGTAGTTGTAAACTTAAACTACTGGCTTATACAAGCTTTTTAGATCAACTTTTTATGAGCAAGTAGCATTACTACTGCAGTCAGAGCATTGTTCCTTTTTTGAAAGCTGTAGTATAAAGACAGCGAAGACATAGCATCCTGCAGTTGATGAGAGTTTTATTAAGGGACTTTATATTGGCATAAATTCTGCAACCCTGTAATAAATGTTTCTCTAAAAATCTGGTGTTTGTGTGACTTCCTGGTGAGCAGAAGCAGAGGGCGCTACGCTGGTATATGGCCCATGAGGGGGAAGTGAGGGTTGTGGGTCTGGGCTAGTGTTTGGTGTTCTCCCTACCTCCTTCAGTCCATGAAGCCCCATTTCCTCTTCCTGTTAACTGTGGAAATGCTTTGTGGTGCAAAACAAACCGGAGGAACAGAGGGAGGAAAAGATGCATCACTACAAACTTGATCCCCCACGGTGTAGGTGTTAGTGAAGCTTAGTGCTACTATAAGTTGAATTCGTTGTGCAGGCTTCCTGGCATGAGGGCAGCAGCTCAGTTGTGGTATAGTTTAAAAAAAAAAAAGGGTGAATTCAAGGGTGAATTCTAGCACACATCTCTCAACGTTGTTGAGGAAGCTGGAGGCTAATAGTATGCTTGTGTTACTGCATTTATGGCCATGCTCATGAGATGAGTCTACATATTGTAACTCCAAGACAGCAGAGGATTAATCAAACATCTTACAGAAGCACCGTTCAGCTTTTACCAGCTTTAAGCACAGAGGTAGGAGACAGTGAGACTTGTATTAGTCTGATTGCTCAAAGAGTTAATGTACCAAACCCTTCTGGCTTTCCTGGAAAATATCTGTGACTTCTACAGCTGGAAGTAAAACAATAAGCAGGCTGTCTGTGCTGAGAACTAGCGAGTAAAATGCCACTATAGGAGGAGCTCCTCTGTCATTGTGAAAGTGTGCAGTGGAAAGGAGTCGACCAGCTTTGGGGCAGTGGGGAATTTTGTTGTTGTGTCTTGGAAATTAACACAGCTCTTCTCCCTACATGTAGGGCAATGCAGAGGACGTGTCCCAAAACCAGAGCTTTGCTCTCTTTGTAATCAGAGCATTTGTCTGTAAAACAGTAAGTGTAGCAGAGAATTTTGTGTCCTTAACTTTGTTACTGGACTACAGAGCTGTAGAAACCTCTTAATTCATTAGAGACCTAGGTATGCTTTACCAGGGGAAGCAGTAGAAACTTGTCCGTGCGGCTGCAGGCTTGCTGTGTGCTTGGACAAGTTACCGTGGGGAAGATTTCCGGCTCGTCTGAGAGGATATCGAGGGTGGGGTGGTTGTCTGGTTTGGTTTGGTAGTGGGAAGATTTGGAAATGAGTTAGCTGCAGAGAGCAAGAGCATCTGACTGCAGCGTTCAGCTTTGGCTGGGTTGCAAACAGAGACGGTAACTCTTCCTTCCAGCTCTGAGCAGCTGTGCAGGGAGGGCTCTCTGTGCAGGCCTTTAACCTGCTGGCTGTCTCCAGCCACGGATCAGGAACGCAAAAAACGCTTCCAATAGGCTGCAGCGGTTTCTCTTACCTTTGCCTGCTAAAGACTTTAAACGAATGAAGTCAGTTCCTTAAAAACCTATTAGATGTCCTAGGCAAGGAGCCAGCGTATTGAAGGAACACATTGTTCTCCTCACCTCCTCGGGGCTCTGTCTTTCAGAGAGTAGCTGCAGTTTCAGCCGTGCGGGCGGCGTGCTGGGCTCATGCTCTGGCCCTGATGGCTTTGTGCTGCGGACAGGCATTCTGATCAAAGGGCTGCCGCTGCAAGGTGGCTTCCAATAAGGTCCTGGGAGCGCTGGTTATTTCCAGATCGGTATCTTTGAGGAGCTGAATTCATCTCTCCGGTCTGCAAGAGCCAGGAGGCTGCCTTGCACCAGTAGGTGGCACAGTCAGCAAGCCCTTTGCACTGGTGAGTGACTCAAACTGACACTGCACCTATTTAGGCTGAAATCGAGGTTTCCAAGTAACTACTGTACCTAAACACAAATGTGGCTTGGGGCAGGCTTCCTTCAGCTGGTGTTGAGTCTGGTTTTGGGTGTAGCTTACCTTCAGTGAAGAGCAACTTTATAACAGTAATGTGTAAATGTATGAAATACTACTTAACACCTGAGTAAGACAATGCTTCAAACACGAGTATTGTAACTGGAGGGATAAATACTGCCAAGATGCAAATGCAAACTCCTTTACAGCAGTGGCTGGTTTTTACAAGTGTGCTGACTCAAAAAGTACTCGGCGTGCACAGGACAATCAGCAGCCTCTGTGCACTTGCATACAGACAACTGTCTTTATGCCAGCTTGCAGATTATCTTTTATGATATTGTTTTTAAACTAAAGCTTTAAATACCTAAACAAATGTTAAACTGGATTCCAGTGCTTTGGATGATTCATCTTCCAGCACTACCTTTGAGTTTTTTCAAGTTTATTTGTAACTCTGATCAGGAAAACATAGGAGAAAATGGCAAGGAAGAGCAAACGCGTTTGTTAGTCGGAGCAGATGCTGTTGGCCACTGCAGAAGCCTGAAAGCTTTCTGTTTGAGTGTGACCCATAAGATGCGGGTGTCTGGTGGTGGTGTGAGTGACAGACAGACATTGCCATTAGAGGAGATGCTACCCTACGCTAGAACTTCAGGTTTTTCTTCAGCCTGGTCTTGTGGTTAAAACAAAACAAAACAAACAAAACATAGGAATTAAGTTGTTGCTTGCTTATATAAATACCTTGAGATGAAGATCCAGGTAAGGAAAAATGGGGACAGTGATGAAACACTTAAAAGACATACAGAGGCCTCAGCATGATATGAAATTAGAGCTGTAGCACCTCAGACTTGTTAAGCTGTTTGGCTAAAAGTGGGACGTATTTCACCATAAGCTCAACCCTGTACCATGGGCTGTTGCAGCACAGCCTTGCCGGCAAGGGTGTGAAAGGCTCACCTCACAGCTATACCGAAAGCCACGGCGTGCATGTAGGCACCCAGAAGAAAGGAATCTGCTCGGACTTCAGCAGGACTGGGCTGATTTCTGTGGACTTTCTTAGCTCTTTGCATCACAGGGAAAGCTACCAAAAACACAGGCATGCTCAGAAGAGTTTCTGGTGGGTGATGGCAGAAATATCCCAGCTCTGAAATCAGCACTGCATTTCCCCGAGGAAGTTTGGTTTACTATATTTTTAATCCTCCTCCTGTGCTTGGGATTTGTTCTTCCCCGATTGCTTTGGCTCTGCTTGCAGCAGGGTGAGCTAACTTGGACAGTCCTCTTCGTAATGACAGCAGGTGCCAGCTTTAGTTTTTGTAGGTGGACAATTTCATTTCTTGTCCCTTTCCAAAGTACTCAGGAGGGCTAGAAAGAAAGAAAACATTATGGTTTTTTGGTAAAAACGTGCACAATCTGATGTGTTTAATCTCACATTCTCCTAACGTGCCCCAGACTAAAAATCCTAGAGCAGAAAAGAGCACGTGGAGGGCCAGATACATACAGTGTGGAGTCCCTGCAGGGGTACATGCTGGCCGTGTGGCTGAATTACCACTTCTGGGAAGACTGCGCTCGAGGTAGGGCTTGGAGGAATTAAAGCTGCTCTGACTGTCCTCGTTTTAAGCTGGCTGGGGGATGGCTGAGCTGCCAGCATGGCACGGTGCCCAGATGCTAGCACTGATTGAAGCTTTGAGACTCGAAGCAAAATAATTACACGTATATATAATTATAGTCACACTATTTCATTAAAATGATTTCTTTATTATGTGTTTATCTGCGTTCTATTGCCTAGGCAATAGAAATGGGTGTATTTCCTGTCTTGAGAATAATTAAAGCCTTGCCACCTAGCACTCCACCTCCAAAGGAAATTATTTCTTATAGCTCCGACTATTTTGTTTGCTTGAGCTTGTTTTCTGTCATTTTGTAGGGTGGCTCCTCTCCCAGGCTTCACACCGACAAATGTAGAAGTGAATTCCCTGCCTTAAGAGCCGTTCTGACTGTGGGTGTAGGTGACCTGTGTGTGTTACCGGCGTGCTCAGCTTCTCTTGAGCTGTTCCATTTTAGGGCATGTTGACATTTGAAGTTGTTCCAGGTTAAGCCCGTATGTGGACACCTTCTTCTGGAACAAGAGCTTCCTTCCTGTCAGCCTAATCCCTGGCTGGAGAGGAGCCAGGAGCTCTTCTGCTGGCGTTAGAGTGCCTGCCTGTGGGATTCATCAGGAACAGCTCCACCGACAAATAATAAATAAATAAATTAATTAATTAACTAATAAATAAAAAATAAATAAATATTTATTTATTAATAAATAAACCCACAGTCTGTTTGATGATCACCAATCCCTCGTTTTGGGTCGGTGGCGTGTGTGTGTTTGCTTTCTTTGGGGAGGTGGGGCCTTTATTTTATTTATTCACACATATTTTTTAGATGATATCAGTTGTAACTCTGCATTCTCACGTGAAGATCAGTAATTCAGCACCTCGGCTTCCCTGGGCTTGACAGTGACAGCTGCTTTGTCACCTCATGTTCTCAGGAGCCCCTCTCACTCCTTAATCCTTAGTGCTCAGACAAATCAGAGAGAGGTAGGAGCCACCGTTCGGGCTGCCCTGTCCGCACCGGTGTGCTCATCAGCGGTACAGCGTGAGGCTGGCAGCAGTCAGGGCTCTGCCTCCTCACCTAACAGTAGAAGAGGAAGCCAGGCTGCTTCACACGAAGTAAATGACAGCGCTTCCGTGGCTGCGATCTGCGCTTATGATCTGAGCCGTAACTGCTGTTTTTCACTCAAGTTTGCGCTCTGAAAAGAAATGAAAGCATTCAGCCTTATCTCGTACATCTGCGCGGCAGTATAAGCTGCTTTCCTTGATGTCCTGAGTTCTGCTCTCACCAAGGCTCTGGTATTCATGTTGGACAGTTTGCAAGGCACGGCTGAAGCAGGTGGGTAGCTGCCAAGCAGAAATGGCCCTCCAAAAGTGCCACCTCCTTCCACTGCTGACGGTCTGAAGGCGGGATCTGTGGTGTGGGTTTGCTTGGCTGGGGGTGACTCGGAGGTAAAACTGTCTGCCAGCTAAGAGGAGCTTGCATCTGGAGGTGCTGACTGCCACTGTACTTCTGGGGCCCTGTTTTGTGGTAGATTACAACCCTAGATTTTTGGAAGGGAAGTGACTCATGCTAACAGGAGGGAAAACAAAGTGTCTGGCTGAGCGCCCCGAGTGTGAGAGAAGGAGCTCCATATCTCAACAGCTTCTGTATCTCTTATTTATAAATACCACTGGATAATAGCATGTCCTAGACTCACAAAATTCATTGTTCCTTAGTGGAATTAATGGTTTCCCTATACAAGACTTTTTTTTTTCTCTCTCTCTCTCTCTTTTTTTTTTTTCTTTTTTTTGCTTGATTTTCTACCTTTTATACGTTTTCACACGTGGAAGAGGCTGCACAGGCTGTGCCATTGCACTGGGGAGCATGGATGTGTGCTCCAAAGCCCTACTATCAGCCTTGCAGTGTTGCTTCTGTGTTCCTCCTTTTGCCTTTGGATGGATGGGGTTGCAGTCCCCATTTGCTAATCCTACCGAGGGCTTGTCGTGCAGAGATCAGATCTCTGAGAACAAACACCTGAGTCCCCAAAGTGATCTCATTCTGCTGAATGAATGTAAATGCAGGCAGACTTGCCCTCATGTGGCCCTTGATGCTAACAAATCCCTGGTGCTCACCTGGGGGTTGGCACCGTGCACATCAGGGCCCTGCTCTGGGATCAAACGTGGCCTTGAGCCAGCACAGGAGTATGTTCCCATTATGAAATACAATCCCAAGTAAGCTTCAGAGGTGTGTGGATATTCAATGGGAATCTGAGGGCGAACCCCATCAGAAATGAAGTCATCAGCAGGATTTCTTGTGCGTTTAGTTCAGCGCTCACGTGCCAAATTCTCACTTATTTCCCTGCTGCTCGCCAGGCTGTCCCTTAGCCCGGTGAGTACCAGCACCATTTGCCCCACACCAAACCATCCTGGGCAGCTCTGGTGGCTGTCTCCTGCCTCTGCGACAGGCAGAAGTTCAAGATGGTGCCTCTGGCCCTGGGGCTGAGGCACAGAGGGGTCCTCTGCCCCCCGGGGAGACAGCGCCAGCTGCCTCACATCCCTTTTACTGGTAAAAAGGAACTGCTTGACCCTTGCTTGTAAAAGATTTCCTGGAATTTGTAGCGTTATTTCTAAGGACATCCCTATCCTGTGGCCGACGTGTCCCCTGGAACCTTTTGTAGCCTGTGGCTTGCTTTAAAGATAGCAACGTAATGGCAGGGTGGAGGGAAAATGCCTCCCTGACTGTCCTGCAGAGAGAACCTGGCCCTGTCCTCGTGTCCTTGTGATGGTGCTGGGACGGAGGCTTTGATGGTTGGTGTTAACTCAAATAAGAAACCTCTCATTAAACTAGAAACTCAAAGCCATGTGATTTTTAGCTTCTGTTTTACATAGGTCTCCTGGGAACTTTCTTTCTAGCTGCGCAGCCCTCTGTCTGACCACAAGGAGTTACCATTTCTTTAAATACCAGCCCTGTCATGTAATAGTGGGGTTTGGGCAACGTCTCAGCCCTGTGATTCAGTGCCGTTATGCAGCCTTCCAGCAGATTAGAGAACCTAGTCAGCAAAACAGATCTCAGGGGACCTGCGAGTTTGAGGTAGATTTCTTCCTTTGGGACATCTGGAAGGGGAGCAGGGAGATGAAGCTGGGCGTTTGGTGCTTGCAGCAGACTACAGATGACTGCACGCCGTAGCTGGTAAAAGCCAGTGGCCTTTCCTCACCTGGAGCCCCAGTGATATTTGTCCTTCTTGCATCATGGTTGAGCTCACTGGGAAAATGGGTAGGCAGAAGGGAGTTGTTAATTCTCATAGTACAATACAGGAACCATTATGTTACGTTCATCCTGCCTTTGATGGTTTGTTTTTTCATTTATTCCCTTGTTTTCCACTCTCTGAATTCTAGATTTAGGGGGGAAAGAAAGTCAGGGGGAGAAAACTTCATGAGACCTGCGCTGAAAATTGTAATCCTGACAACTGTAGCTCAGCCACTTGCTGACCGTGGAGGTCGCCAACCTCCAGGAGCCTTCATTCTCCCCCTCACTTTATCTTGGTGCTGCCACCTCCGTGTCTGCCCAGAGCTGAGCACGGGTTGTGACCAGGTGGAGAACTCCTTGACGTCCCCTGGTGCCGCAGCCTGAAGGGGCTGTGGGGACATCCGTGCGTGTTGCCAGCCCGGCTTCCTTGGGTAGCCACCGCTCGGTCGTCACGTCCCCAGGGCAGGGTGGAGTTCCCTTATCGGGGAGTGCCAACTGCCACCAGAAAAACCCCACATCAGCCTCCCAGCAGCTGGGGGTGTTTACGGATTGTATCCAGTGTTGGTTTGACGCAAGGTACAAAAATAGAGCGTGCAGCAGGAACAAGCACCTTCCCCTTTGAGGAGACAGCACTAACCGCTGAAAGTCATGTTTGGGTCTGTTCCCTGTACCCAGCACCAGCTTCTGGTTTGTCACCTTTTCTTTTTTCCACTGCTTTGAATCACCAAGAGCATTTCCATAGCAAGAGGAAAAAGGAAATTAAATCCCCTCCTGGATTGAGCAGGAATTTTGACCATTCTTCTTCCTGTACTTACAAGGAGGGGCAGTGACAGCTTTATCCCTTTGCCGTGTTTTGGGACCAGGATCTGCTCCTGCCAGTGAGATTCAGGTGATGCTAAAACCTCTTTACAATTAAATCTAGGCCTGAGTATATCAGACGGATACGCCTGGCCCTGGGCTAGGCACCTCCTTCTGTTGCTTGAAGATTGCTCTCTCAGCAGCAGAGGGACGACAACCACAACGGAAGGTGTACCAATGCCCCAAAGTAGTCTGTAACAGCTGGAGATTATTCCTAAATGCAGTTCAAGGCTTTAATAAAGCAGGAAGCAATAAACACCAGAGGAAAGATGTGATAAGAAAAGCAATGATCCCTGTCTCTGACTGCATATTTCAACTGGAGTGTCGTATTTTCACCCCAAGATCCTCCTAGGGCTGCCCAGCTTCCCAAATGATCTCCTTTTTGGCACGTTTTTTTTAAATTTTGAGAAATCCTTGTGGCCTTCTGCTTTATATCAGCAGTGTTACCCCTGCAACTTAATTCATTAGTGCAAATCACTGTAGAGAAGGGCCAGTAAAGCAGTTTACTTCCCAACAAAATCATCACAGCAGCAAGTGGTGCTACCAAAACTGCTGTGAGGATGTGCTTTTTGGGGCTATTTTATCCTGGATAAATAAGAGAACCTTTTTCAAAGCTGGATCTGGAAACTCTGTCTTTTGGGCCCTGGTGTATAGCATATGGCTTGTATTTGCATAGAGGTTGGTTTATCAGCCCAAAATCTGGACCCCAACCACACTTGGTGTTAGCTGGCCATGTGAACCCAGGCACTGCTGTGACCACTCCAGCTTCTCTGTTCTTTGTCAGGGTATTCATCAAACCATCTCTGATGATAGTTTATCTTCTTTCTTGTTTTTTTTTGTTGGATGGGGTTGATTTGTATCTGGCTCGGCCACTGTGGTTTTAGGGTACGGCCACGAGCTGTGTTCCAGGCTGCCTGGCCAGCGGTGCGGGCTTTCTGCGCGGGTGCCGAGCTGTTCTGGGGACACCGGGGGCGATGCTGATTTTTGGCCTCTAACAGCAAAGCAAAAAAGGAAGCGAACAGCGAGGTGTCGGAACTTGCTGCTGGTGCTTGCTTGATTGCATCAGAAAAGCCTAACGCTGAGTACAGAGAAATGGGCAGCGTTCACTGGGCACTGACAACCCGATGGCAAAATAACGAATAAACGCAGCGCTGATGGATGGAGAGAAGCACATGGGGGAACAAAAACCATGCTTAGGTAAAGAACTGGAAGGAAGAGGATCTTTGAGTTATGTGGAGAGCTCCCAGTGCTTTTTTCAAGCCCACCATCAGCAACAGGTTCCTGGCTCCTGTGGCCTCCGACCTGGCTCAGCCACCTCGGGAAGGTCTGAAAAGGAGGACAGGAAGAGGGGAGGGCGCACGCTCCCCCGCTGCTGCAGCAGCCGTGGCTCACAAGTACAACTGTACGCCTCGAGATGCAGAAACCCCGTCACGTCTCTTCCTTTGTGCATTGTTAGCAGGGGAAGCTGTGCGAGGCGGCGCCGGGCTGTGATGAAACGGGCCACGGCTGGGGCAGGCGGTGCGTGGGCTCGGAGGCGCGCGGCGGCGGGGGGGCTGGTGGAAACAAGGTGGTGAGACGCTCACAAACCAGCACGGCCAGAGCTGAGAGCTCTGCTTCAACCCACGAGCCTGCCATGCTCTTCTCATGCAGGGCTTCCCAAAAAAACCCCTGCCTTGGTGCTGCTCTTAACACTCAAAGGTCCCCAAGCATACACTAGCTTTACAGGAAAAATGCTTTACCTGGCCTTGTGATTATATTATTTTTTTTTTTTAATTTAACTATTGTTATTGTTATTTATTATTATTATTTTATTTTTATTTTTTAAAATGAGAAACTGTATTTTTGACAAAATGAAAACTTCCCAGGAGGGTTTGATTTTTTTCAGGGTGATGGTGAAGGCTCCAAAGCTTCAAAGTTGAGAATAAACTTAATTCAACAATCTGAAGAAAAAATAAAATGTGTGGCAGGAACCATGCCTTCCAGCCTCGGGGTGAGTCCTTGGAGGAGTCTTCTTCCATTGCCAGATGAAGAAAAACTCCCTGAGATGTAACTGCTGGAAAGAGGATGCACCTTTCCTTTGGGCCTAGCACGAGCTGGGGGTTTTGGGTTTTGGGTTTTGGGAGGACACTGGAGCATCCTTCTGCTCTGAGCCACCCCTGGGCACAACGTATGCCTTCTGCTCACCTAAGTGAGGCAACATTTTTGTTCCCCAGGCGTCTGCAATGCTGTTGGCCAAGTGCTACGAGGTGATGGAGAGGGCAGCTGAAGCAAACCCTGCCTGGAGCAGAGCTGCCACGGATGGCAGGAGAAGGCAGGCAGAGCACCTGAACCCGGCTCACGCGAGCTACCGCGACCATTGCAGCAGACTTCCTGTAAAAAGAGACCGTTAATAGTAATATGAATAAACCACACCGTGGAGGAAATGGCTGCTCTTGCGCCTACGGTATTTTCTAAGTGGGAAAATTGAAGCACGTCGAGTTCTTCTCGTCTGATTATTTCTGAACTTCTGACAACCTTTCATGTGATTTCTCTCCCCGCTCTGAAGCTAAAAGTGGCTCTGTGGGGTCGTGCTGGGCTGTCCTGCTGCCTCCCACATGGCTGGGGGAAGGAGACCAGTGGTGGGTGCACATGTGGCTGGCATAGCAGAGGTCAGGGACTCTCCCTCTGGTGCTGGGGGCTTCATTCCCATCCCCCAGAAAACACCACTCAATTCACAGCCTGATGGACCTAAGGGAAAACACTCCATTTAGGGTGGGTCTGAAACGTGTAAGTGTTCATAAATGGCAAAAAAAAGCTTAAAATTGTGCATTATCTTCAAATATGACCACTGAACTGATTATATACAACAGGAAATGCAAGCAGATACTGGAAAATAAATAGTTTTTTTTTATTGTTGTGAACAAATTACAATGTGCTGCTCGTTTTCTGCAAATTAGTGGTGCATACTCAGCTGAATGCATGTACAGACACAGGCTGGCAGTGTGGGCGGGGTGGTTTATTATACAGAGGGATTTTAAAAGTTTTTTAAAAAAGGTCTTTCTGTGTTCCAACAGTCTCTGGAATTCACATCATTTTTCTACAAAATGTCTTCATAAATAAAATCTATAAAACAGTATTTGCATTAAATAAAATCTAATATCACAGTATTTTTACAATTCAAAATGTAACATTTCAAATGTTCACGTAACAACAGATTATACAAGAAGGTGCAAATAAAGTACCAGTGGAGCATGAAGCTTCTGTTGCTTGATTTTACAGACCTTACTATTAAAAATACATCCACATTTGAATATTTCTCTCAGATTTTTAAAGCCACCTGTGAGGTAGCTCCTTGGACTCGGCATATAGTGAGTTCCCATCACAGTAAACTGCAGAAAGCTCAGCTTCCTGTGCCCCATCTTAACGAAGCTGGTGCTAATGACTTGAACTTCACTAAGGTGGATTTTTTACAACTACAGAAAGTTATCCCAGCCCCAAAATCGTCGACTCCTGGACTCAGGGGCAGTTCACCGTAATACTGATGATAACACCACAGCAGGTGTTATGGTGCAGAGTCTCTTGTCAGAGAAAGGGGAACCATTTACTCCATTTTTGGAGAAAAAAAGGACCTGAGAGGCTCACTGGGCCCTTACCCTGACTAAATACACTCAAAGCAGGGCCCTGTGTTTAAAGCTTATCACAGGCAGTAAAAAGGGCCGCTCGTGGCATCTTGCTACTTCTTACCCTGATCCAGAAATGACCTGATGGTAAAAAAAAAATGGCTGATGGTAGAAAAAAAATAGTGTCTGGGCACTTGATTGGCATTGTGATTTGGGGAGCTGTCAACTGATGCACCCCCAGAATCGAGTCCTGGGTGTTTATGGATGCAACCAGGCCTTCGGGGTGACCTGAGGCCTCAGGCACATGCAGATATTAAAGATGCTGTGCCATCGCCCGTTGCTTCAGAATAACATAATACTGGGCCACGTGCTAACTTTAGGACTGAATTCTTGCTGGATAGGGAAATCCCAAAGTCTTGGCAGCTTCTTGTCTGGTGCCAGGGTGTGAGACTGGGCTATGGGTGGGTGGCAGCGGGGCAGGGCTGCGTGGCCTGCTCCTGCCAACACCAGCCTGCTCCTGGTTGCCCAGCTCGGGAGTGGGGCCTGTGGGATTTACACAGTGGTGCTTACACAGGGAAGACTTGCAGCCAAAGTATTAAAACATCAGGGGCTTGATCGGGCTTTTTTGTTGTTGTATTTTTAGCTCAAATCCTCCTGGGGGCCAGCAGAAGCGTGCCTGAGGAGCGGCTCTCAGTGTGGCAGAACCACAGGGCGGTTGAGTTGGAAGGGACCTCCAGAGCTCATCGAGTCCTGCTCGAGCAGGGTCACCTACAGCACGTGTCCTGGGGAAGCAGATCGGCCACGGGCCAGATCCGCACGAGCACCTGCGGTAGCCGGGGCCGTGCCCGGGGCAGCCAGCGCTAGCAGTCGGTGGCCTCCTCCTGCAGCGTGGCCTGGGAGTGCTTCTTGCCGCAGCTGTGGCTGTGCAGCTGCACGCTTTCCTGCAGCTCCTGCCGGGACAGCCGCCTCCGGAACTCGTCCGTAGTGAAGTAGTAGAGGATGGGGTCCACGCAGGAGTTGAGGCTGGCAAGGCACAAGGCCACGGCGTGAAACAGGGAGATCACCTCCTGGACGCGGCAGTTTTTAATCTTTTTGGTTTTGACGAAGAAATCCAGCGGGAAGCTGATATGGTAAGGCGCAAAGCAAATCAGAAATACCAGAGCGCAGGTGAGAATCATCTTCAAAGCCTTTTTTTTCTCTCCAAGATCAGGCGAAGCGACATTTTTTTCTTTTAATGACAAGATGGTTTTCCACGAGCAATATACGATGATAAAAAGGGGTGTTATGAATCCCACCAATTCCCCTAGCGTCATCATTGCAATGGCAGTGGGAAGGTCAACTTCCCGCACGGGGAGGTCCACAAAGCACTTGTTTGCACCTTTTGCTTCTTCGCTTCTCAGCAGAGGGAAAGGCAAACAGCCAATGCAGACCACGATCCACCCAGCAATGCTGATGTACACATCACAAATGCGTTTGCAGTCGCTGAATCTGAAGGGGTACATAAGAAACAAAAGCCGCCTCACGCTGATGCAAACCAAGAAGTAGATGCTGGCGTACATATTGACATACTTCAGGTAGAAGCAAAACATGCAGAGGCCTGATCCAAACTCCCACGTCCCAGTCAAGTAGTAGAAAATCCTCAGAGGCAAGGATAAAACCTGCGATAAGTCAGCAATGGCTAAATTGATCATAAATATTACGGCCCGTTTAGTCTCTTTCATGTACCCGTAGAAGACCCACAAAGCCAATACATTTCCTATTAGTCCAGGGATGAGGATGAAAGTGTATGTAGCTGCATAGTAGGGCTTGAGGTTGGTGCTGTTGGAGCAGGTTGAGCTGTTCTCCATGGCTGGGCTCTAGATTCCTGCTCAGCTCTGGTTCCTTCCCCCAGAGCCCCCAGGAGCTGTGTGTAGATGGCGAGCAGAAGAGCTGTGAGCTCAGTAGCACCTCTGTCCCAAGCCGTTGCCTTCCTGCCTTTCGGGCACTGGTCACCTTTGCTCTTCATGAAGTCTTCTGCTGTGCCAACGCAGGCGTGTGCCGTCAGCACTCCGGCACAGTAACATGGTCCTCACCGGCACCCCGCAGCCAGGTTGTCCTGAGGTTTTTGGTTCCTAAATAAACAGGTGTAAACCTCCTTCAGCCCTGATGTTTGTGCACGAGGCTTCAGCTAGGCGATCCTGTCCCATCTGGTGAGGAGCTCTGCTCTGGATTCATTCAAGTCCTGCTTGTATTGTAGGTGTCCTTCCTGCTTTTTCAGAAGTTACCAGACCTTAACGCAGCTGCTTGCGGTGCTGGTAGAGCTGGGATCCCCACGGAGAAATCCATCTTTACGTGTTGAAGCAGTCAAACAGTCCGGCGCCAGGTCTGCACCCTCGGTCACCTTTTGGGTGGCATTGCAGCCCCTTCCCTCAGCGCAGGAGTCTGACGGCAGGCACGGTCCCACAGCTGAAAGACAGAGAGGTGCAGTTACAGCGCCGCACAGAGCCGCGGGTCGCACGCAGCAAAGCCTGCAGGAGGACTGCAGGAGAGGGAGGAAAATCTCTCCTCGACAGCAACCCCTCGCTAGAAGAGGTCAGCTCTTCACCCCTCTACCCAGCACCACCTCTCGCCCAAGGGAAGTCAGGGACAAACCACTGAGGAACGGATAGAAAATGGGTTTAATTGCACAGCCCACCCTGCAGTGGCTCCATCACGGGGCAGATTCAGCTCATGCCTGCAGCCCACAGCCCCAGCACCATCCTCCCCATGGGTTTGATGCTCCCGTGGCCTCCGGGAAAGTCCTTCAGAAACTTCCCACACTCACCACGGCTACAAAGAACCGAGAAGATGATGGAAAGAAATGCGCTGCTCATCTGAATGGCCCCGTGCATTTTCATGTAAATCTTCCATCAGCACAGACACTGGTGCTGCACCTCGGCGTGGGAGCCCCAGGACGGTGGCTTTCACCAAACCGTCAGCATTTGCAGGCAAAAGGGCAGCGTGGGAGGCGCGGACAGCAGCTGTCAGCTACCTGCCAGGGCTTTCTCTTGGAAAGGTAAAGAAAAAGCTCAGCCTCCACCACTTGTATGGTGCATCAGCACAGGTGCATCAAAGCAACGCGCATTTTTTTGGGGGGGGGTCAACTTTTTCATTTATTTTTTGAAAATAAGACATTCGTACTGCAAGCAGGGACAAGTGGCCTGTTTATTAACTGCTTTTTGCCACAGAACAATGCACACTTTCTCCCAACAGCTTTTTCTGAGCCTTTCCATTCGCCACCTTGCGAGCAGCCCTGCTGCAGCCATGGGAAATACCAGGAGTCATTTCCCCATAAACTAAGCTGACTGTAGGAGGACTTTGTTTAAAATTTGTTTGCATAGTGGGCAGCTGATAATATCTGAATATGTCAGACCAAAAACCAACCAACCAACCAAAAACCAGATCTAATAAATATAGAGGGAATTCAGATCTCTGATCAAACTTTCTCCAGGTCACCTTTTGCTTCAGCGTGAAGAACCAAACCTACAGGTCCAAGTGAGAAAAGTGTGGTGCCACATGATGTGCCCGAGGCACATTTATAGATTAAAAATTTCACCCTGCTGCAATCCGTGATGCTTTTTTCCTGTACTTTGAGGCACAGGTGCTAAAATATGAAGCTTTTTAGTGAGGCTGATGTTCAGCACTTGTCGGTGTGATTGCACTGCAACTTTGGAGCAGCTTTCTGTAAAACTACAAAATCTGCCAAAGGAAACTGTTCTCAGGGCAGCTTTTATGTGCCCATTCATTTTATTTCTCTTGCCATACCCCTGAGTGATGAGTCCAAAGAGACCGAGATGTTTTCCTTTTTCCAGGGAGCCCACATCCAACTCAGTCAGGAGAGCAAAAGGGCTCGAGAAATAATCTCATTCAGCTCCAGAGGCGCCCATTAACGAGCCGTGGGGTCAGCTAGCCTCCTCTGTGAAGACTTTCCAGTCCTGCTATTAATTCTGAGGCTGACCTCTAGGGCACAATTAATTCTAGAAATGTGAGTAATCTCTCAGTCACGTAGGAAAACTGGTGCTTACCTACTCCTTGGTTTATCAGTCATGGGAGGGGAACTGGGGCTGAGGGCTTCAGTTTCCATTTGCTTTACTGGCACCAGTAACCGAGGGGCGTGCGGATGGGACAGGGTTTTGGCAGCGCTTGGTGCACTCCCGTGAGCTTCCCGGGGAGGGTTCAGCATCGTGCATGGTGTGGGTACAGACCCCTCCAGGACAAACCATCACTGGGTACACAAGCTGCCTCCGTAGCTGCCCGTGTTTCGCCCTCCCCACTGCCCAGGGACTTTCCTGCTACCCCCGCCTGGGCAGAGATGCTGCTGCGGCCCCGGGGGCCCCGAGAGCCCCGGTGCAGGGGGCAGCATCACCCGCCCCGTGGTGGTGAGAAAGTGCACTTTGGAAATCCCGGGCAGTCACATTGCACAGCGCGGTGGTTCAGCCAAAAGCGCTGCGTAAAAACCAGCAGGAGGCTAAAAAAAGCTGCAGAAAGAGGAAATTTTGTTTCACGTCATCTGCACTCGTCTCTCGTCGGCTCAGGGCGCGTGTTGGGGGGGTGAGGCTCTCCCCAGGCACGACTTCCTTCTTCCTCCTGACCTTTTTTCCCCCTCTTCATTTT